AAAAGTTGTGAGTGTAAAAAAATAAAGTACAATATTCAAATTAACACAATATAAGATTACACCAACACATTTTCTATATATTTTCGGTAAAACCTTACCATAAATGAGTTCTATATAATTTTAACATAAGATATTGCATAACATTGATCTAGGACATTGGGCTGACTAACACAACTAATTTAAAGGTAGTTAATGAATATGAACTTGTTATGATTTTCATTTCTTTTTTTTTTTTTTTTTTTTTTTGGGTTGAAATATCATTTTCTCATTAGATTCTTTTTTGCTTCTTCTTCCTTTTTTTTTTTTTAGTTTGAAAAGACAAGAAAAAAACAAAAAGCTTCAAAGTTCTAATATATGTATTTTTTTAAAAATGTAATTGTATTTTGGTTTATATCAATTGAATTGATAAAAATAAAAGGGATAAGGGTCAAATAGGCCATTCTTCTCTAAATAATTAGCCTCATAAATTAACAAAAGCTCCAATTAGGCCTTTCATCTCTTTATTTGTATGCAATTAAGTCCATAACTTCTTAAACTTGTGCAATTAGCTCAATTTGCAGGTAAACATAAGGTAATAGCAGGTAATTTTTATTTTTTATTTTTTTGAACTGGCTGGATGACCTTCTTCTCCGTCCAACTGGACGAAGAAACCAGGTCGGCTTCTCCGTCCAACTGAGCGGAGAAGCCAGCCAGTGGCTTTATATATATATATATATATATATATATATATATATATATATATATATATATATATATATATATATATATATATATATATAAATTTATTTGAATTAAAAATATTTTTTTATTTTAATTCTTTTTTAAATTGTTTTTTTTAAAGAATTTACTGTAACTTAGATGTAACCCGTTAATTAATTTAATTGCATAAAAGTGAAAAGATGAAGGGTCTAATTGGAACTTTTGGTAGTTTAAAGGGCTAATTGTATTTTGTCCTATAGTTGAAGGGTCTATTTGACCCTTATCCCAGAATAAAATAAAACAGAAGTAAGTGACAACTATTTTATTTTATACGAAACTATTGTAAAAAGATGTATTATGAATGCTCTCATATCTAGACCCAATAAAGTTAGACCTAAATGAGAACTAAAAAATGTCCGTCTAATTATCCATTCACTCCGTCAGTGTAAACTTTAATAACGGAATATTCTGATTTCCGTTAACTAGTTATTATTCTTAACTTATTGATTTTCATAAGGAAGGTCTTATGTTCGAACACCATCTCAATCAAAGTTAGCATAATTGTTGAACATATACTCTGAATATGTTAGAGTGTATTAAAAATACAATATAAAATTTAACATGATTTTTTGTCAATTAATTAGCCAGACTATAAGAAACCTTGAAATTTATTTTCTTACATTTTTTTTTAAAAAAATCTATGTTAAAACTATGTAAATTTGCATTGATATACTTTAAATACTTATTTAAATATAAACATTGTGAATTAGCCATCTACACAATGCGTGCTTAAAACTAGTATATACACAAGAAGTAGTAAATAAAATAACTTGAAGAAGATGTTAGATGTGAACATATATACTGGTAAATTCTTTGCTTGGACTTATAAAAGCTAGACACAATTTGAACAAACCATATGCTGGTGGCACCAACCATTACAACTTTGTGTATATAAGATGATAACAGAAATTTGTTTCAACAAGAAATGTGTCATGTTAGGGTAGACACAGCCCTCATTGCACTCCCCAATTAGGCATAGGAGTAAGACAAGGGCCTGATTTCCCTCTCTTCCTCCATGCCCAAATCAAGAAATATCATCTCAATCATATCCTTTATATATCCATGATGCCAATTCACAAATAACAACACTCAAATTTACCACTTTTTACCTTTTATTGCAATTTTACTGCTGATGACACACATTTATTATCTTATATGTAAAAAAAAAAAAACATTTTTAGTTCTTACTAGCCGTTTTAGTCCATAACTTTTTATTATTGTAATATACATCTCTAATTCTTCAAAATAGAGTTTAATAGTTTTGTTACTTCAGGGATTAAAATTATTACTTTTTGAAAAGTTAAGGATGTATATTGTAACGGTAAAAAGTTATACTAAAGCAACTAGTAAGGAACAATTGAGGGATTAAAAATTCATTTTTTCTAATTTATATTAATTGTTAATGAAATTTGAAAAGAAAAAAAAAACAATGTTATTATTCATGACAGATTTACACAAGCTAAATTAAATTGACGAAGGATAATTCGATTGTCTTGTTTGACATGCACATGTGCTGTTTTTTTAATGGATGACAATAATTTTTATTGTAGATTATAAGACAGAAGTATGAATACACTCTACTCAAAATGAGTGAGTATATAGTCTACTTATTAGAATTACACTTAAAATATCAATTATTTAACGAATACTTTCGATACAATCAACAAATTATGCACTATAATAACTAATCACAATATTACAATATCTTAAAAGAATAAAATACCAACCACTTTATACATAAAAACTAATATATAACTCACTAGCGATTGGTTTCGGTAAGATTAAAAAAAAAATTATTATTATTATTATTATTATTATTATTATTATTATTATTATTATTATTATTATTATTATTATTATTATTATGCATCTTAGATTTAATAAATATTGTATATTAAAATGTTTCAAAAAAAATATTGTATATTAAAGTAGTAAAATTTTGAATTTGCTAAAATTAAGGGGGTATATATATATATATATATATATATATATATATATATATATATATATATATATATATATATATATATATATATATATATATATATATATATATATGATACTTTTCAATTGTAATTTTTCTGAAACACTCAATTATTTATAATGTAGTAACTGTTTTATACTTTCTCAATCTATTCTAGTCTAAAGAATCAATGCCCCCACCACTCATTAACAATCATAATTAATTAAATTAAAAAAAAAAATCATGTTGTAAACTTAATTTTTGACATTTGTTTTTGGAACCTTAACTAATATTTTTGTTTAAAGATAAAAATTTTAAAGTAAATCTCCTGGAATTTATTTAAATTATTTTCATAATAATCAAGTGGTTGACATAGATTGTTTACACAATATTAGTAAATAATTTGAATAATTATTGATGATATTAAGGAAGTTGCCTCCGCAATGCACGGAGTTGATTTCTGTTTTGTGAAGCGATTTGTGAATCGTGTTGTCCACTCTGTTGCTCGGGAAGCCGTTTTTGTATTAGGTTGCGGTGAGTGATTTGATGACCCTCTTCATTATCTTGTTGATTGCCTACTATTTGATTCAATGAATTAATTCTTTTCTCTCAAAATAAAAGATGTTGAGCCTCTTTAAATTACCCATCAAATATACGTTTGAAAATACTTTCCAAACAATATAGTAATATTCATAATTATTTTTGAAAGTTAATTTTTAAAGTGAATTAATTTTCAAAAATTCCAAGGATATATGATATTTAGAAAATTATAATAATAATTACTCCGTATTATTTGACTAAAAGTTATCATATCTTTGGTATATCCTTCAAACAAAAATATAATACTATATCATAAAAATATTGACAAAGTTGTCAATTAACATATCGACTAATTTGATCTTATATTAACTATCTTTTTATAAAAGTATCATTATACTATTATTTGCATATCTTGATTAATATGGTTTTACATTAATTACTTATATTTTTTATATGGCGATAAATTTGGTGTGATTTTTTTAATATTTAAAATTTATTTATCAATATAAAAAATTAATTAGATCGATATGTGGCTAAACTAACTCCTGAAAACAATAAAATTGACAAAAACAAGTGAATGGAGGCAGCACTAATTTCACATAATAATGTAGTGTGATATAATGATTCAAGAAGGATATTTTTAGCTTCAATGATTGGACCACCAACCTAATCGAATAAGGAAAATAAAACGAGAAAATGTATAGAAAGCGATACTCCCCTAGGCCCCTACCCTAAACAACATAAAGAAATGTCGAAGACGTTATGGTCAAATGGTTTGACTGTGATTCTCCTAAATAGAAATTTACATATTTAACTTTTAATGATACATTAACTTTTTATGCTTCAATAGTCAATATTACATTCTAGCATAGTCATATTACTAAAAGAACAATACAAAAAAATAAAATACTATTCTTAATGTGACAACATATTAGTAGTAATTGTGGATATCTAACATTTTTTTCACTTTAGTTTAATTAGTATAAACATGTGATAAAAATATTACTTTCTAAACTGGTATAAATATCTTTTGAAAATAAATTATACTTTATTTGCCTCATTTTATGTGTATGGTTTCATTAATAAGGTTTGACTGCGTTATTTTTACTTTAATTTTTTGAAATATTAAATTTAGTATTACTATATAAAATTTATATATTTAAAAATTAAATTAAAAGTATTATTATTAAAAAAAATAAAAGTACTATTAGATATAAATAATTAAATTTAAAAAATTCTAAAAAAACAAATATAAATGAATTAATTTCACTAATGAATATTAAATATGAAATAAAATGAACAAAGATAAGCAAAATTTAATATTATGTAATTCTTTTTAGTACTATTGACTCTATTACAATGTAGTATCTGAGATAAAGAGTCAATACATCTCACTACGGCTTTAACCCATTACCTCCCATTTGAGAGAGTCACTCCAGGTCACTAGATTCGTATTATGTATAAACTAACATTTTTATTTAAAAAAATAAAAGAAAATACAAAAGAGACGTTGTTACAAGGAAAGAAGTATGAACATAAATATAAGCGTAAATAATGACGTGTCAACTTTAAAATTAGACCGCCGCTCCTAAATATTTCTTTTCGAACAAAAAAAATAGAAAAAGAACTCGCGGTACTTTTAAAATCCAATAAAAAATAAAAAAAATTTTATTTCGTAAAACAGGAAAAAGAAAAAAAAGAAAAAAAAAAGCAAAAAACTCCACTCTTCTCTCTCTCTGCTTCGTTAATAAATTCAGACCTTCACTTCATCGTTCTCTCTCTTCCAGTCGATTTCCCATATTTCTCTACCTTCTATTGCTTCTATATCTATTTATATAAGACATTTGTGTGCATATAAACAAAAGATAATATTATTGTTTCGGAAAATAGATTAGGGTTTTGATTCACACACTTCACAGGTACGTCTCGTGCTTCATCAGCATTCAATTCTGTAAATTTTCAATTTTGACCTAGTTTTTTTTTTCTCTGTTAATTTCTCTGTTTTTTCCAATTTCACGTTGTAATTCACCTCTTTCATGGATCTTATTTGTGTTGATTTTATGTTTTTTTTTTTTTTTTTTTTCAATTTTAATTTGTGGATAATTTGATTGTATTGATGAAATTTAGGTTTGCTGTTTACTTTTTATAATTTGATCAGGTGATGTGTCCAACGAGTGATTCGATTGTATCGAAAAAGCACCGCTTATGTCGTAATTTGATGATATTTGATGATGTTAAATTATGTTTAGGTTTTCAGTTAGCTTTAGGTTTTTCCCTTTATTTCTTTTTTATTTTCTTAATCAATGGAGTTACATGTGAAAAATCTCCATCTCAGTAATGGAGGAGTGTGAATTCTTCTGTAGTTAAGGTAGTCTATTTTTAGGTTCATTTAGTGGTGGTGATGTTTGCTGAGTGTTAGGTTTTGGGATAGTCGATTTAAGAAATGGCAGATGTTCAGCAACAGCTTCAACAGAAGCCCGAGAGCACGGCTGATAATGCACGTGTTGAATTTGAGAGGGGGCTCGAGGAGCTGATGCGTGGCCATTTGGATGGATGTATGTCATATGAGTCATGCAGTTCTGCTAGGAACACGGAGGATGATGATGATGAGGGTGAGCAACTTGTCAGGAGGAGGAGGAGGTCCGACTTAGAAGGTGATGATCTGGCTGAGTCATCTGCAGCCAGGAGGCGCCACTCGCGGATTTTAAGCAGGTGGGCTGCTAGGCAAGCACAGGAGATGATAACAACAATGGAAAGGAGAAATCGTGAGTCAGAGTTGATGGCACTTGCTGGCTTGCACACAGTTTCCATGCTTGATTCATCATTCTTGAGAGAATCACAGTCTCCTACTTCAAGGCACCAGGGTGGTGTTGAGAGAATAAGCAGTCGGGCATCAAGCATCCTGCGGATGTGGCGGGAATTGGAGGATGAGCATGGCTTGAACCGTGCCCGAGAGAGAGTGAGGGGAAGACTGACACAGCAAAGGAGTGTGGATTCTAATACAAATGTCTCCAGTGTAAACATGTCTGAAAGCAGAGAAAGTGATAATCAGGGTAGTTTGGGGGATGCTAGTGAGAGTGAGAATGACTATGGAAATTGGACTCATGATCCTATTAGACAACAAAATGAAAGTAGGGAGCATAACAATTCTAGCCGGGAACAATCTCCTGATCTAGGTGAAGTTGAGAGGGAGAGAGTGAGGCAAATTGTACGGGGATGGATGGAAAGTGGCATCACTGACCCATCATCTAATGTTGCTGAGAGGAATGGTGTTCAAAGAGGGGAATGGCTTGGGGAAACTGAGCGTGAAAGGGTTAGGATTGTGAGGGAGTGGGTGCAAATGACCAGTCAACAGAGAGGATCACGTGCTCAAGTTGGTGCTCAAGTTGATCGGGTTCGCGAAGGGTCTGCTATTCACCATGAGGAAGGTCAGCCAGAGCATATTCGCAGGGACATGTTGAGACTGCGTGGAAGACAGGCTCTAATAGATTTACTTGTGAGGATTGAGAGGGAACGGCAGAGGGAATTAGAAGGACTGTTGGAGCACCGTGCTGTTTCGGACTTTGCTCACCGCAATCGTATTCAGGTTAGTTTGATATCATTTATGCTTGTGTGCTCATCTAGATGTTTGTTTGCTTTCGTATGGTACTTGGCCTTCTGAGTAATTTATCTGATTTTTCATATGCTTGCCTTCAATACTTTCTTTTCTTGGAAGTTGGCTCCACTTTTTAGTTTGAGCGCTGTTTTTTATGAAATTATACTTAAGTGTTTATCTGTTGCTAGAGCTATGCCAATGATATTTTGGATGTGAATTCTGGTATTGGATATTTTAGCCACTGCACCTGATTTGTTATTTGACATGCAATGATGAGAGAAGCAGCATTCTTTCTTTGCCCTTTTGTGTATTGGCAGGGCTATCCCATTACAATATTAAGACTTCCACAGCCCCTAAAATAGTGTTTCCATTTAGTTCAGTTCTTTTGCAAAGTTAAAGCTTGAGAATGTCTTTTGCAGCACTCTTTTTGTCTTACAGATATCATTATGATTTTAAATATACTTCTATTTTTATTTTATTTTATTTTCCAGTCATTACTCAGAGGTAGATTCTTGCGGAATGAAACGCCTGTTGAGGAGGAGAGACAACCGTCAATGGCAGCAAGTGAACTGATTCAACTAAGGCAACGTCACACTGTTTCTGGATTAAGGTATTTGACAAGTCATTTTGCAATGCATCATATGCTCTGGTTCTACTTGTTGATATTTGTGCACATTGACCTTTGTTCTTTGTTTGGTTTTCCTTTCTTTCCCTCCCCCCTGGTTTTGAAGTGTTCTTTCGTGTGATAGTTTTATCCCCTTATCATTATTAGGGGGTCCTTAAAAAATGATTTTTTAAAATATTACCATCTGAAGGATTAGATGATTTTTTTTGCATGCTTGCTATGCCAATTATTCAATTACAATACCTGAAAATTTCTCATATTCAATTATCATTTGATTTATGAAGAGTTGCTGAGTTTGTCTCAAAATTTACCTGCTGGAACATGTGATGGTTTAGGATGTATGGGTTGTGATTCTGTAAAATTTTGACTATAGCTTTGCCTGTCATGCATGTGAATTCATTTTCTGCATAATTTTGTTATCCGGATTTCCTTTTATTTTTATATACTAAATCAAGTTGGTAAACTTTCATCTCAAGCAGGGATGGATTCCGCTCCAGGTTAGAAACCATAGTTCGTGGTCAAGTAAGCAGCCACTTTGAATCTTCATCTCACAGTACGAACAATGATTCTAGAAATAACCAGACTCATGCAAATGCTTCACAGGAGGTTCAAAATGAAAATCTTGAGCAGCCACAGATGAGGGATCAGGAAGATAACGCTCATCAGTTGCATGAACACAGAGAAAGTTTCAATGTTAGCACAGCTGATCAAAGTACGAGTCAGCAGATCCCTCACAATCAGGGAACAGATCGGGTAGTGCCGGTTGCTGAAGCTGAGGCAGGAAATCAAGGGAATTCAACTTCTGATGAAACTGCTGAAAACACAAGTAGAAATTGGCAAGTCAATTCAGTAACTACTCGGCCCCTTGAAACAGCAGGGGATGCAGTTACAGATGAACAACCTGTGCGTGAAACTGAAGAAGTTTGGCGTGAGGATGGTTCACGAGAAGCCGTGGAGAATTGGTCAGTGGGGCCTTCTGATCCTCCTAGAATGCGGCGATCTGTTCCAGTTCGGAGATTGAATAGATTTCACCCCCCTGAGGATGATAATGTGTACAGTATGGAACTCCGGGAACTTCTAAGCAGGTCAAAAAAAGATCTTTTTATTTGATAGCTTAGTTTTCACTCTATGGTTCTGAATATTTCTATTCTCTATAGTATTTTTTTGAAAAATTTCAGTTTATTGCAGGAGGAGTGTTTCCAATCTTCTTCGAAGTGGCTTCCGGGAGAGTTTGGATCAATTAATTCAATCATACGTAGAAAGGCAAAGCCGTGCGCCCATTGACTGGGATCTGCATAGAAACTTGCCTATCCCCACTTCACCGGATAGGGGTCAGGATCAGCAGAATGAACAAAATGAGGATCAGCATGATGGTATTGTCAGACCTTCACTTGTATTGCCGTCTCCTCCAGTGCCTCCACCACAACCGCTTTGGCATCAGGATTTGCATCAGTCTGGCTGGTCTCGTCATAGTGTCCATCGCTCTGAACTAGTAAGCTCACATGTTTTTCACATGTCAGGCTTTCAGCACTATATTCTGTTATATTAAATCAGTGATGTACTGATGCTAAGAATGTTTTGTATCTTAAAAGGTCGCTTAGTTATCTCCTCTTTCTTCTAAAGTGCTTAAGTTTGATATTATGGCCTGCTAGTACTAGCGAACTATGGATATCTATGCATCATTTCGTTTGCTAGTTTGAATTGATGACCATATGCATTCTTTTATGGAGCAGGAGTGGGAGATGATAAATGATCTGAGAACAGACATGGCCAGATTACAGCAAGGTATGAACCATATGCAGAGGATGCTGGAAGCCTGCATGGATATGCAGCTGGAGTTACAGCGCTCTGTCAAGCAGGAAGTTTCAGCAGCTTTGAATCGATCAGCCGGTGGTCAAGGTTTGTCTCCCATTTCATGTGCAGTGTAATTGATAAAATGAAATGTTAGTGGTGTTCTTGAGCAGCAAACGTCACCCTACGTGTTTCAATTGGGTTAGCTGACTCAAATATGTTGTCAGGGGTTGCAGAGACCTCCGTGGATGGGTCTAAATGGGGCCACGTGAAAAAGGGTACCTGCTGTGTTTGTTGTGATAACCAAATCGATTCCCTCCTGTACAGGTATCTTACCCAGCTTAGCATGCCTTGAAAAACAAAAAAAAAAAAAAGAAGAAAATATTATGCTAGTATCAAATATTGAGTTAACCAGAGGAGGAACTGATTATTTGGTGATTTGCAGATGCGGACACATGTGCACCTGTTCAAAATGTGCAAATGAATTGGTCCGAACCGGAGGGAAGTGTCCACTGTGCCGGGCACCCATTGTTGAGGTGATCCGAGCTTACTCCATACTGTAGAGAGTGATGACTGAAAACCATATTATATATATTATAAGTTGATAAGAATGGTAAGAGTGGGGAGTAACGGAAGTCAGTGTTATCTTATATATATATATTCACTGCTATGCTGTGCTCCTCAGAATGTAGTGTAGAGTATTTACTTTGCCGATGTTCTTCTGATTATTTGCAGAATGCTTTGCATTTGTATAGTTGGAAAAACAAGTGGCCCCTTTTGCTTCATAATTCGTTCGTAAATAAAAGATCAATTCTTTGTCATTGTTTGAAATGTGTGTTGTTATTAATAATCCTTCATTCTTTTGGTACTTTGATTGGAGATTTTGCAATTTTTAATTCAAAGTTCTAGTTGGACATTAAAGGTCAGTTAGGAAATTTAGAAAATGATTTTCCAAAATTATTTTATTTTATTTTTGTGTTTGGCGATTTCAAGAAAAAATAGTCAAATTGAAAATATTCATTCTGACCAAAAAAGGAAAAAAATAATCTTTTATTCAGAAGACTTTGTATAATATGATTATTTGAAAAATAAATTAAACAGAAATTATTGTTTGGTTCAATTATAGTGGCAATTATGTTCATAAATAATTATTATTTTGGTACATTAATTTTGGTCAATTAGTACATAGAATTAATTTTTTAATTATAATAATATTATATCTTAAAGGAAAGTGTAAGTAAGACAATTATATCAGGCAATTATGTTAATGAATAATTATTATTTTGGTACATGAGTTTTGGCTCGTATGTAAATATATTATATATATTAATCTAGGATTATCTATTTTTTTGATACCTAATATTTTATGAGAATCGTAATATAAATAGAATTTTTTTGAAAAACGTGAGATCTATAATATAAATAGAACTGTAAATATATTATATATATTAAAATGTATAACTTTGCACTGTAAGGTATTATATATATTAAAATGTATAACTTTGTACTGTAAGGTGCATAACTTGCACATTTGAGTGCACAGAGTTTAGCCTATGAGTGTATAAATTTTCATTATTAGGTACATAATATTGTTGCCTTAGTGTGCATAACTTTAACCCTTCAAGTGCATAACTTTGAACTTATGAGTGCATAACTTCAAATTTTCAAGTGCATAACTTTAAATCTTATTGTTTCAAAAAAAAAAAAAACTTTAAATCTTATGATGCATAACTTTAACCTTTCAAGTGCATAACTTTAAATCTTATGGTGCATAATTTTAAACCTTATGCTGCATAACTCCACACTTTAATGGGGTACGTAATTTTAAACGCACAAGTGCGTAACTTTAAAAAAATATTATTGTTGCCATGCCATGCATTTGTGCTCCAAAGTCATCAATCTTTTTTTTTTTTTTTAAATTTTCTTTTATTAGACTAGTTAATTTGAACTAGATCAATAATTAAGATCTCATGCCATATTTTATTTAAAAATTCCTTCCTATGTATATATATAATAAAAGTCAATTTAGTAGCTACTAGCTAGTATATATTTGAAGGAATGCATATATATATCATATATGGGTAATGGTATATGTGAAGGGAATATCCGGCGAGGTTGTTCGGAATGGGGAGCAAAGTTGCGTTGACCTCTCTACTTGGTTCCTTGCGGACCCCACCCGGCACATTGACATTTGACGTGGGGTCCACTCCCAATTCTCCAAATCCGATGAAAATATCCAAACCCGATGAAAGATAAAGCCTACAGAGTCCTAAAATAAGTGTGAATAAATCCTCAAGGAACAATCTTTTTCTTCTCCTTCTCTGTCTCTGTGGAAATTCCCAATATTTGCTGCTTTGCTTCTGAGTTCTGTCGTATAGACATAATATCTGATACTTGGGTATTGGGGAGTTCAACCGACGACGGGGGAGATGGCCGGCGGAGATGCGTCGGAGCAAGGGACGGTGACGTGTGCGTCGTGGATCAGACGCCCCGAGAACGCGCATCTCTTGGTGGTCGGCAAGTCAAGGCCTTCCTCGCTCGAGGTTTTCTCATTCGATCCCAACACCACTTCTCTTTCTCCATCTCCCAAGGTTTTGTTTTTCTTGCTCTGATTATTTTCAGAAAATAAACATAATAATAAAGCAGTGTCCTTTATTCATTTGCTCTAAGTTTACTCGCCATACTGAAATTCTTGGGAACTGGGTTTTTAGGCCAAGTATTTGTTTGAGGAAGGAGGTGATCCTGTGAGCATTGCAGTGCACCCCAGTGGAGACGACGTCGTTTGCTCAACCACCTCTGGCTGCAAGTCAGTACCCTCTCTATCTCCCCTGATAAAAATGCTCACTGTTTGGTGGTTTTGATTTTTTATTACCAAAGCTGATGTCTTTTCGGGTTTCAACTCCCTCACTTTTTGGAGATTGTCTAAAAAGTTCTAAACTTTTTTTTTTTTTTTTAATAAATAAATCTGATTAAGCTTGCCACTGGGATAAGATGAGGAATGCATTCTTGATCTTTAATTATGGAGTAGTTCTTACTTCTTATGCTGTTATGCATTTATGTTTCCACTGTGGTCTACTCAATCTGTTAAAAGTATGCCCTTCTGTACACAGATTGTTCGAGTTGTGTGGTCTGGAAGATAACCTAAGACTTGTGTGCAAAGAACTGGTTCCTCTTCAAGATGTTGGTCCTCAAAAGTGCTTGGGGTTTAGTGTTGATGGATCTAGGTTGGCTTCCGGTGGAGCTGTAAGCATTCTTGTGATTACTAAAAGGGTCTTGAATAATGAATTCTCGTATTTGAATGCTTTATCTATTGTCGTATGTTTCCCGCTTTATACTTGAAGGATGGACATTTTAGACTGTTTGAGTGGCCAAACATGCGGAGTATTGTAGATGAACCAAGGGCTCACAAGTCGTTCCAAGATATGGATTTTAGGTAGACTTAACTGTAGTTTTAAGGGCATCTTCTTCACATGTCTTTCTACTACACCTTGGAACAAAACTGAAACCTTTTATCCCTCGTGTTTTGCTGTACTTCAGCTTAGATTCGGAGTTCTTAGCATCCACATCCACTGATGGTATGGCGAGAATATGGAAGACCAGTGATGGTGTTCCTGTGACAACTCTTACTCGAAGCCCTGTATGTCTAATATGGACTAACAACTCCTTATATGTAGTACTTACCGTTATACTTTTCAAGGTTTTGATCCCGTATCCTGCCTTTTCTACCACAGGATGAGAAGATTGAACTTTGCCGCTTTTCTAAAGATGGGACAAAGCCTTTCTTGTTTTGCATTGTTCAAAAGGGTAGGCTAACAGGTTGATTGTAGTTTATGAAGTTTACCCTTCCTTCTGTTTGTTTAAATAGTTGAATCTGAATCTTTTTTTCCCCAATAAACAGGCAATAAGACATTGATTGCTGTTTGGGACATTAGTGAGTGGAAGAAAATTGGACACAAAAGTCTAGTTAAAAAGCCAGCTTCCATTATGTCAATTAGTTTGGATGGGAAATATCTTGCTGTGTAAGTCTTCTTTCTTAAATATCACCTCAAATAAACTATGCAGCACCAGTGCTAGTCAATAGGGAATTTTCACTGATTTCTAATGATAGGAGGACATATTTACACTCATGATGGGTTTTTTGGGATGTGTATGTGTTTAATTGCCACCTATTTCTCATGAAAATGCAGGGGAAGCAACGATGGTGATGTTTGCATTATTGAAGTGAAAAAGATGGAGGTTTCCCACTATAGTAGAAGACTCCACTCAGGCTCAAAAATCACGTCTTTGGAGTTTTGTCCGAGTGAAAGGTATGGCTGCTCTTCTATAGTTCCATAGGCTAAGAAAGCTTATCAAATCTCAACACATTGTGTAGCTTCTCAATAAAGCAGATATCAAATTGAAGAATGTGTTCTGTCTCAACTAAAAGTTTAACCTATTAGCGAGACTGCGTGTTTATTGTTTTGTATCTGTTATGCTCAACACTATCTTCTGTGAACAGTTTTGGAACTTACAACTTCATTCCATCATCTTATAGTTGTTACATCTGCAGGGTTGTTCTTACCACGTCTGCTGAATGGGGACTAATGGTGACCAAGTTGAACGTTGCAGCAGATTGGAAAGGTATCCCTCCCTCTCTACGTGTTAATTGTTTGCGTCTTTCAATTCCTGCGTTTCAGAATCTGAGATCGAGTTTCTTTTTCCTTTTGCCCGTTTCAGAATGGCAGATATATCTGTTACTGCTGGGATTGTTTTTAGCATCAGCTGTGGCGTTTTACGTATTCTTCGAGAATTCTGATTCCTTCTGGAACTTTCCCGATCCATCCACGAGACCAAAGATCGACTCTGTACTTGGAGACTCAGCATCTGATGACCAAAGTGTGTGGGGAAGTTTTGGACCATTAGATATGTAATGATCTGTTAAGCCTTCTCCAAGAACCAATGATTGTTTAAATGTTAAGTATTTGGGAGTAGTTGAATGCAGCAATGATCAGAAGCCAAATTCCTTGTAGCTCTGCAATATTCCACTCTAGTTTTGGACTGATGAGGTGATTGACCTTCTAGTTTACTCTCTTGGACAAAACAAAATATAATGTTTGGTTTACATATTTTGCATCTCATTTCAATTTCTTTTTGGGCGCATATAACACCTGGTAGCCATCCCCTTCTAATACTCCATCCCCTTCTAATATTTTGATGAGGAGGAAAATTGTAACCACTAGTAAATCAATTTAGGTTGCTTATAGCTTATTAGTTGAAACTACGATAGTCATGGTCCCTCCTACTCAAAGTCGGTTGCCTAGTTGGTTGGCTAAATCCATGAAAATTTGTAGCAATAGAGTGATTAATTTGGCTGAATTGTCGTAATACTTTTAATAATCTTCTTCCTTACTCTCCTCGTTCAAATTATAATACCTCTTTAGAAATGAATCACTGAAGTGGGGTTTGAATAATGGGTGAAGTGGGGTTTGAATAGCGTTAAGGGTTGTTCTGCCTTAGACACTAAGGTCTGGCTGAGTTAAGCACGCCGACTCGATTTAGTTTGGGGAGCCTGTCGCTAGTTTTAGACTTGATTATGGGGAGCCTGTCGCTAGTCTTGGACTTGACTATGAAGGGAACCGATGTGATTCGAATGGCACAATTGGTTAGAAGCTATTGTCACTTCCCTGATGAGCCTATGACAGGACGAAACCAGTATGGCACGTATGAGGGTAAGGCTGGTCCGCGGGGTATGAGGGGCCCGCGACGTCTCACGGGTGTTGTGCGCTGCGCCGGATTCTATACCCCTGACAAAGTGGTATCAGAGTGGGACATACTTATACTGCTCCGCTTTATGGTGGGGTCCTAGAGGTAGGACTATGTGAGCACGGTGGCGCAGAGTGGCACACGTGCTGATGACGGCTCCACCCCAGTGGTCCGCAAGGGGCGGAGGGGTCCTAGCGTTGAAAGGGGACTCGGGTGGCCGCCAGTTTAGTTGGACTGCTTTGTGAGAGTGGTCCATGCGATTGTTGTGCGTATGCAATATTTAGTATGTTGATCTTTGGGCAGAGGCCTTCTCCCCTACGTCAGAGTCAAAGGCAACATGGGAACACAAAGAGGATTTATGACAATTCTAAGACGTTTGGAGGCATACAAAGCGACGAGGCCGTCACCGAATTAGGTGGGGAGGACGTAACACGCGGGGCACATTGTTACACATATCCGATGTTTGCTACGCCACTCTAGAATTTTCTACCATTTGTACATATCATTTAATACTTGGTAGAATATTCTAGAAGCATATACATTACACTAGGGGTAGTAGAAATATATAGAATGTTCTAGAACATTAGAGAACCCTTAGTTTGTGTAGAGATTTAGAGAATGTTCTAGAGCTAGATTATTAGCCATTAGATCAAGTAAATCTCCACCATCCATTGAGGAGGTGGAATGGTTATAAATACCCTTATGAGGCTCATTTGTATCCATCCATGAGTTCAAGTAATCCAAGTTCATTACAAAGCTTTTGAGTTCTTTCCTAAGCTTCTTTGTGAGATTCTTGTTGTAGTCACTTTCTTAGCCATCCCATCATTCAATTAGCATCACCTTCAATGGTTGAGCTAGGCTAGCTTAGCTATTGTGAGAGAAAGAGCAGCTAAGGCAGCGCACTTTTTAAATTATGGGTCTACAACCACACTGTAATTTGAAATTTGGTTGTATTGTGATTAATTGTTATATCGCGAATTAATATTCATTATGAACATTATGAACTCAGTCAAGTATTGTGAACCCTAGTCTAAATTATATACGGAGTATATGCAAGGGAAATTGACTGAAATGTGAAACTAGTTTCGGATAATTCTCAAAATATGATGATGCTGAAAATTGGACGAAATTATGAAAAAAATGTTTGGGAAATGCATTTTTCTTGTCTTCTCCGGCTAAGGACCAGCAGGGAAGCCCAAGAAGAAGATGAAGATAGCACCTCGATATAACATAGAGACTAGCAGAGGGACTCGATACAGCAGAAGACACGTGACCAACAGATGATATAACATAGAGACTAGCAGAGGGACTCGATACAGCAGAAGACACGTGACGCTTGACACTATACTGACCCTGTAAATACATGGATGCTAATACTGACCCTGTATCTAGTAAACCAACATAAATTTCAATATTTTTGGATTTAGGACCCTGTAAATACATGGATGCTAATACTGACCCTGTATCTAGTAAACCAACCTGAATTTCGACATTTTTGGATTTGGGATTATAGGATTATGGAACTGTGACATGGAATGATTTGGTAGAATATTTGAATAAAAATGGACACCAAGAAGCCCAGGAAGAAGATAAAAAAAAAAAAACGCATTTCCCAAACCTTTCCCAAACCTTTTTTTCATAATTTCGTCCAATGTTCGGGGCCTCATATTTTGAGAATTGTAGGGAGCTAGTTTCACATTTCAGTCAATTTCCGGTATATGCAATTAATAAACTTTTAATTATATGGAGAAGTGTCGCATTAAATCCGTGAATTTATGTATTCAATTTCAACTTCTTAAAAAGTTTAATTTTATATAAATTACATTGATGTTGTAATTAAATATTAATGGTGGCCATTATTTTGTAACGTTTGTAACAGACATATTAATGTATCATTATGTATGCCATTATTATTCTATATTATATATGTGTGTAATCCTTTTGTAAGAGGAAGCCATGGAAATGAAATCATATCACTCCCTTCTCTTTGTCTATTACTTCTTAGTGTTGATTCAATCCTGAAACTCACCGGTTAGGAGCTATAGGCCAACGGGCACAAACAACAACATTACAACACGTTATCAGCCGCTCAATCCCGGTGAACGGTACTTTTATGAGTTTTCTAAGCCTTATTAGAGATGCCTCAAAATTGCATATATTTGCATAATTATATTCCATTTATATGCTTTTGGATATTATTTGATATGGAATATGTTTATGCCTAATATATATTCAAATTCTACCAGTTTTATATATATAATGGGATGCACCATATATGTTTTCTGTATGCATTCCAGAGATAAATTCATGATTTTTTTTGCAAACATTATCTTCAAGACTTGTATTATACAGTTCAGTTTTTCTGTAATACCTCAAGGCTTTTACCAAAAACAAAACAAAGATTGTTTTTGTCGTTTCATCTGCTGAGCTATCGCTTTTGTCGTTGCAAATACAGTTCAATTTCATGGCCATTATTCACCGTGGCCGTGGCGCAACTGAGCTATCGCTGGAATCTGGTAGATTCTCGGTGGAGCACCCCATCGAAACAAATAATCAAGGGCTTTGATCAGAACTGATCTTGATAGCTTTGAAAATCAGAACAATTGTATTTAAACTCGCAAAAATGTTTTTGGACTACGTCTAATGATCGAAAAATTTCAAAAATTGCGACTAGTATACAATAATATTTGTATATTTTTCGAACAAAAATCAAAATCAAAAACCTGTTTTGGCCGTCGATCTACGTCCGGTAGTAGGCGGCGACGGCGGCCCGCGATCGCACGGCGCTCCGGCAGAGGGCTGGTGGAGATTGCGGCTCTGGTTTGAGCCGGAGTTTTCTTCTCGCTTCTATGGCGCTGTGGTGGCGAGCTTTCTGAGTCTTTGAGATGAGAGCTCTGCTATTTCAGATGTGTAGAAGCCAGGGATGTGGGTTCGATAATGATTGATGTGTGTCTCGGGCGATGGCGGTAAGAGGCGCTGCTTCCCCTCGGCCGACGACCTTCCTCTCTCCATGCGGTCTGCTTTCTCTCTCCCTCTCTCTCCCTCTACATCCCTTGCGTTTGGATGTAGGTTAAAAATATTTGATAAGGGATGAACAATTTGATTGTGTTTTTGACAGAATGAATCCCTAATTTTTGGGGTAGAGGGATGACTGATGATGAGGCTACGTTTTCCTCTTTCTCTTCCCATTTGCCATTTACATTTTTCTTAATTTTGGTATTTGATATCTATAAAGAGTTTTTGTTGAAAATATGCTCCAGTTATCCCAGAAAATTTTGTAAAGTAATTTTCTGCCTGGCGCAGTGTTGAAAAATTTTGGGAAAAATACTTCCACGCCTTGGATTGACATGAAATTTTTATATACTTTCAAGACTTGCTGAATTTCATATTTGCAAAATTTGGTGTACAAATGTGATAAGGTTTTTTCCTAAAAAAATTTTTTGCAATCTGAATGCTCCGTATAATTTATCGGTAAAGTATGCATATTATTGATTCACAAGAAAATATGTTTAGTATCACCCATGTCATGCATCCAAATTGATGCTTAATTGTTTTTTTTTAGAAAGCATGATAAATAGACAAAATTATGATATGTTATCTTGATGAGTTCACTCCATTGCATGTTGAGTACTCTACTTGTTTCTCTAATTGTCATGAAACACTTAATTAAGATACACAATATCATATTTTTTTTAACTAAAGCTCTAATTCTTAATAGAGCTTTGTTTGAAAAGTAATTTATGCAATTTTGGAGGAAATATGTTTTTTTGGGGACCTTCAAAAATTGAATAACCAATATCTTGATCCACTACATATCACATACGCTAGTACATGATGCATTTCCCTATCTGCGTTTAATTTTTTTTAATATGCAACCCTTATAGCTATATCTCATCATGAGAAATCAACAATGATGTTGGTTGCATTATAAGATCTTTTCTCGGCATTAGGGGGAGATTTGAAATTTCTAATTAATTAATGCCGAGAAATTGATAAAAATCTTCAAACCCATGTACTAGCCTTATAGAACCAGAAGTTCAGACATTGAACAAATTATCTGCTAGAAATCTCAAAGAGTGACTAAGTCCATAAAAAATATTTCATATATATTAAGAGTTGAAATCCCCAACTAGGACTAAATATTTCTACCATTATGCAAGAAGCATATATTGGTTTAAGAATTTACAAAACTAGATCTAGTATAGAAATTTCGTCACTCCAGAAATATAGAAATTTTATCCTGAAGATATTCGTCTAGAAGGCGAAAACCCCCAGTAAAATTATAGGTGCACCAAACAACTAAAATACTGGGGAAGCGGAACAACCAAATTCAAATAATCTTTGGAAATGCCATATATTTG